GGGGTGGGAGGGAAGAAATGCCCAAATCTCTTGCCCTGACCCCCAGTCTTTCGCCTCTGTCTTCTGTTGTCCATGTTCACTGTAGCCCAGAAGCTTAAACTCCAGGGAAACCTAGGTAACTCAGTCCAAAGCCTTTTGAGGCCAAGATGAGGAAGAATGGAAAGTGGTCCTCAGGGGACAGATACAAAATTTAACACGTCATTTCCAGAAGTTTATCTTTCAGCTGCAGAGGCAGAAACACACACAGAACTCCAGTCAAAGGCAATAAGAGAAGATGATGCACACAGATAAAGTGAGGTCATTGATAGAGGTTCATCTTAGGAAGCTGAGGGGGATGGAAGGGGGAAGGACCCCTCTGGAGAATTTAGAATTAGGGCTGTAGAGCGATGCAGAACGGGTACCGGGGTCCTCAAAGCATGCATCATCTGATTCATTTTATTAAAAAGGTCTTTTTTTTTTTTTTTTTTCTGAAGAGCTGCTGGCAAGACCTGAGTGTGGTGCGTAGGTTTGAAATCCTCAGATTAGATGTGTCTGTCATCCAGGTCATCCTTCCCTCTCTCCCTTCCTTCCTTGCAGCAAGCATTAGTTGAATCCTTTGCGTGTAGCGGGCAGTGCACCTGGGATCATCTGCTCTTGGATGGTCTGGCCCCTTCCCAGTGCCTTGTTCTCCTCACTCCATGGAATAGCCTTTCCATGCTCTTCCTGAGCACAGGAACATTTCCTGGTTGCTTGTCAGGCAGCTATTGCTGCTGAGGGAGGAAAGGAAGGCGATGCAGACTTCTGAAAGAGCGAGGCACAGGGGCACAAGAGCCCGGGGAAGACTGGGTTTGCACACGCCCCGTAGGAGAACAGAAAGGGAAGAGCGATCTCTGAGACACTGGGTCAGTGCCCCTGTCTCGTGTCCCTCTCTTTTTTTCACAAAAAAAGGCTGGGAGTGTAACTCAGTGGTGGACAACTTGCCTAGAAAACATGAGGTCCTAGGTTCAAGTCCCAATCCTTCCCTATCCCTTCCCCCCGAAGTCACACAGTAGTAGGACTATGGAGCAACACAGGAAGACTATGGGACACTTGGCAGGAAGTTCTGACTGCTGACTTTGCTCCAGTGCCTCCCTCACCCTGTCTCAGGGGCCTGACTGTTTGTCTTGCCTTCTGCCAATGGTCAGGGACCTATTTCACCATTTCTCGGGGTGGGTGGGGAAGCTATTTTCAGTCTACTCCACCTCTGACCCTTGGAGTCACCACTTCTTATCAGTGGTACCCGTGTCTGGTCTCTCTGTGACATTTCTCAATCTCTCTGTTCTTACTGCTATGTGCTAGACAGCGCGCTCACAGCTCCTCTTTCCTCCCTCCTAGGTCTCCTAATATCCACAGAATCTCCACTGAGCCCCATGCCCACCCGGTCCCACTTTGTACAGCGTAGGGTAGATGCTGAAGTTGGTTTCTGCTCTTGCCTTTGGCCGGATGTCTGACCAGCCATGGAAAACATCTGGATCTTAGTTTCCTGTTTGTAAAATGAGAATGATACATAGTTCCCCCCCCCCCCCCCCAGGATTTGTGGAGATTGAGAATCTGTGTGAAATGCTGGCCCCTGTGTCTGACTCTGGAACGGTGTGATTTTTGTATTAATGTCTTGGGTACTAGTGTTAGTATTAACAAGTGTTGGTATTGGGTATTAGTATCAGTATAACAATGCTTGGTGTGACGTCTTTGGAGTCTGGGTGTGGATTTTGTTTCCATGTCACTCTCTGTGCCTGGTCATATGGCTCTTCTAGCGTGGCATTGACTAACAGGTTTCACCATATGTACAAATAAAGTCCCTTGTTCCCATGAGGAGAACTGAGGGCAGGTTCCAAGCTTGTTATAGGCAACTATGGGCCCCTTATGGACCTTCCTCGTAGTCAGAGAACCCACAGATGGGATGCTGGAATTAGAGGTCCTTCGATATATTGTAACTCATGTGGAGAATCACTAGACTGAGAGAAAAAAAAAAGAATCTTACAGGCCAGGTTCACATCAGGACCAGTGGCAGCACAATCAGAAGGTATTTCTCTTACTTCTGTGATCTTGCTACCCAACTAGAGTCTGTCATGCTGGATGTTCTCTATCTTCTCTCCTCCCCCTTTCACTTTTATCTGTCTGTATCTATCTATCTATCTATCTATCTATCTATCTATCTATCTATCTATCTATCTATCTATCTATCTATCTATCTACCTATTATCTATCTTTCTAGCATCTATCTATCTACCATCTATCTCACTTTCATCTATCTACCTATTATCTATCTCTCTAGCATCTGTCTATTATCTTTCTATGTATTTATCTAACTAACTGTCATCCATCTGTCTATACAGCTGTCCTCATCACTATGTCAGCCACCTTTTTCATTGCTATGACCAAATAACATGACAAGAAGCAGTTTAAGGGTAGACTGGGTAGACCTGGTCTCACATTTGGAGGGCACAATCCACCATGACAGGAAAGGCATGATGGAGCACGTCAGGGCATGGCAGGGAGAACATGTGGCAGATGTTGTTGATAGCATGTAGACCAGAAGTAAAGAGGATGCCAACCCTCTACTCGCTTTCTTCTTCCCCCTTCTTCCCCACCCAGTTCCTGGTATGTGGGACGGTCCTCCTTCATTCAGGACAGGCCTGCTCCCCTCAGTTCATCCTGTGTGGAAACACTGTCACAGGTACCTCCACAGGTATGCTTCACTAAAGCTTTAGGTGTTTCTTTTGTTTTTAATGTGTGTGTGTGTGTGTGTGTCTGTGTGTGTGTGTGTGTGTGTCTGTGTCTGTGTCTGTGTCTGTGTCATGTCTCATCCTCAGACATGTTATCATCTTTCACTGGCATCGAGCTCAACCAAGGAACTAGCTGTCCATCAAGCCCCAGGAACTTTTCGATTTTTTTTGTTTGTTTGTTCGAGACAGGGTTTCTCTGTATAGCCCTGGCTGTCCTCGAATTCCCAGAGATCCACATGCCTCTGCCTCCTGAGTCTTAGGATTAAAGGAGTGTGCTACCACCTCCTGGCTGACTTTTCTCCTTTTTAACCTCCCGGTTCTGGTAATACAGTGGTTCACCACCACGCCTTGGCGTTTTCACCTGGGTTCTGGAACTCGGTCCTCGTGTTTTCAAGGCAAGCACTTTATGGATTGAACTGTCTCTCCATTCCTGAGACATTTTTTAGCACAGCGGACTTGGCAGTGCAGATTGCTGTCATACACACACACACACACACACACACACACACACACACACACCCGCCTGTCTCATCTAACTCATCCTTCTGAAGGTTTCCTATGTTTAGGCTTTTTCAGATCCCCGAGTCATGAAGAGTGGGGTAGCTTCACACTCTTTCCTGTGCCTTTTGTAAATGCAGCAACTGCCTACTTGACTGGCTTATCAGGACCCTGCATCAGTCTCTTTCTCAAGGTTTCAACCTCCTTATCATTGTCACAGACCAGCTCTCCTGGTTAGTTTGTGAAGCTAGTCTGTTTCACAGAGGGGCTGCTGGCTGATACACTCCATAGGCTCCCCTGTGAGTGGTGAAGGTCTGAGACAGTTTACCAAGACCTTTTTGTTTGTTTGTTTGTTTGTTTTTTTGTTTTTTTCCCCCCAGGGGCCCTGAGACCAGCCTGATCCTATAATACCAGTGAGCACATTGGAGAGAGAGAGAGAGAAAGAGAAAAGGACCCTAAGCAAACAGACCCACGCCCTGCTTCTATCAACACAAATATTTCTGCCCTCGGCACACAAGGATCAAGTTCCCCAAATTCCATTTAATTTCCTTGGCTCCTGTATTGAGTTACAGCCGGGCCACAAGGGATCTTGGCACCAGAGGCTTGCAAGGAAAAGGCTGTTTGGTTGAACTTTGTTGCTCAGTTCTGCAGACACTGTAGGGTCAGATAAGGTTGTGGGTGGCCCATTAATTCTTCCTACATGGTGTTCTGAAGTGAACCTGAACTCTGCCACACTCTGAGATTCCCTGCTCTAATGATTCCCGAAACAATGAACAGCCATCGCAGAGTCCACGCCAAGCTTTCTCAAGAGCTCCCTTCTCATGCCTTTCTCCCAGCTATATGCTTCTGTAAGAAAAATTGTTTCAGCTTCTTTGAAGACTGTAGCCCCAAGGCAGCTGCTTGGAGGCATATGTGTACCCTGTCTGGTTGATCACATGAAAAGGTGAGAAACAGAGTTCTGAATCTCATTCTTTCACTGCAGGGGTTTCAGTGAAAGCTGTGGAGATAGTTTCTTTCCAACTTTAGTGTCCTAGTTAGCTTTAACTGTTAACTTTACACAGCCTTGAGTCACCTGAGAGGAAAGGCCCTGTAGAGTAATTGCCTAGATCAGATTGGCCTGTAGGTGTGTCTGTGGGGCATTGTCTTGATTGATAATTGATGTAGGAGGGCCCAGCCCACTGTGGGTGGCTCCATTCCCTAACCAGTGATCTTGGGCTGTATAAGAAAGCAAGGTCAGCATGAACCCAAAAGCGAGCCAGGAAGTAGTCTTCTGTGGTTTCTGTTTCAAGTTCTTGCTTGAGTTCCTACCTTTACTACCCCTAAGGATGGACTGAGACCTGGAAGTGTGAGCCGAACAAACCCCTCTTCCCTCCCCTAAGTTGCTTTTGGTCATACTAGCAGTGTTTTATCCCAACAACAGAAAGAACACTAAGAACACTCTGATAGCTATATGTTTTCTATTGCTCTATGTGTGAACACTCAAAAACCAAAGCAAAACAACAAAAATCCTCACAAAACCAACAAGTATGATGGTACATACATATAATACCAGCACTAAGTAGATAGAAGTTGGAAGGTCAGAAGTTCGAGACTAGCCTAGGCTACAAGAGGCACCATTTCAAGCAACAAAATTAGAACAATAAACAAACAGTAAGAACCCAGAAAACTTTAAGAAATCAATCTACCAACCAAAGTGTCAAAGTAGATCCAACAAATGAGTTCAACAAGGTTTTGAGATATAAAATCAATACAAAAAAATCCATTGTATGGGGATTTTTTTTTCCCTTTTAAATTTTTATTTGACAATAAGCAAACAGAATTAACATAAGCAGCTCCAGATTAGCTCTTCTTGCACCAGTGACGAGCAATTGACTTAGCAGGAATTGAGTTAAGGACTCCCATTGACGGTCCAGGACTGCAATCCAGGACTGCAATCCAGGACTGCAGCAGGGCGCCCCGGCCAAGCCAGGTCACAGCAAAGCCATCTTCCTCATTGCTTTTCCCAGCTCTTTTTAATGGAGCCACAAGACACAGATATTTGTTTAGCTGTACTGTCTGGGATTATCCAGGATGGAAGTCTCTGGTTGTGCTGGCGGAGACAGGACTTAGAACGAGTCTCATCAGATGGGGTCAGCTGTGAAACAGCTCCTGATCAGAATGGAGGCTGAGGCATCGCACCTGTCTCTTCATAAGGACGGATACTTAGCCATCTTCCTGTAGACCTGGTCTTTTTACTTGGGTTTTTTTCTTCTCTGCTTTTGGAGTTACTATCTTCTTATTAACAATATAACAACCCCATCATAGTGCCAAATATTCACCAGATGGAGCTTAAATTTGATCAAAACAAACTGGGACATGCAGTTATTTAGAGTCTTTAGGGCAAACAACAAGAAAGAGTCACCCTAAACTACCGCTCTACGACAGCTCGAGTCTCCCGTTTGCAGGATGGGAGTGAGAAGAGGAGAGTCGTGCCACTTGTTGTTCAGAAGACACTGCAGGGGGGTGGCCAGGACCGTCAAGTGACTGACTTCCCTATTTTCCAGACAGCTGCTTGTGCAGCTTGGGCACATAGTCATCCCACTCCGCCTGGTAACACGTGCCGGCTACCGGGGCTCCCAGGTGGTACTTCTTGCGGAAGGCCGCCACCTTGAATTTGCCGCGGTGGTCTCCTGACCGGTTGCTGAGAACAGGCTCGTCACACTTGAGGGGCTTGTCCTGCTTGTACACCAGCCAGACGTAGCGATGGAGGCCGGTGCCACTGGGAGGCCCGGAACCCACATAATCCGAGAGGACCTTCCCACTGCTGATGTCGTTGCCCTTCATGTTGACCACAAGAAAATGGTGCCACTCCCTGTACTTGGGGTCTCTCCTGCTGGGAGCATCGGGGTCTGTGAGGACCAGCGTGTAGAGTTTCCCTGGGTCAAGGCCATCCCAAGAAATGCTGCTGGGTCTGTTCTTAACCTGGGTGGGCGTCAGCACTTGGCCGAGTTCGTCCACTTCCACCCCTCCATAGGTGACCCGCAGTGGGTGTTGGGGCCGCTCATCCACCTCCTGTAGGCTCAGGGGCCCGGCCCACTTGCTGATGTCTACCGGCATGGCTAGAGGCTGTGGTGGCCGTTAGGTACGAACAACTGGAACCCACGTGCTGTGCTGAGACCTGCCTGCTGACCACGTGAGCCCTGCAGCCGCGGGGAGCACACCCCTTTGTATTCTTACATACCTCAATGAATGATTCAAAGAAGGGTATTAAGAAATCAATTCAATTTTTTTTAAAGTGATAAAATTAAAATACTCAAGAACAAATTTGACAAAAATTATGAAAACCATAGTGTGAAAAGTACAAGAGATTGTTGAAAGGTACTGAATGGGCTTTAAATCAATGAAAATCATTCCATGTTTGTGGGTAAGACTTAGGAGTTAACAAGAAATAAGCATCCTTTAAGATGGTGTGTGGATTCAATGAAAGTACTATCTAAACCGTTGTAGGCTTCTTTGTAGAAACTGTTGAGTTTAAAATTCGTATGGATGGATTTGCAAGGAGCCACAACAGTTAAAGCTATCTTCAAAAGAACAAAGCTGGAAGATTCACGTGTTTTCTGATGTAAGGTCAGCACAAAACAGTAATAATTGAGGCAGTGGCATACTGGTACAATGGGAGACACGGGGATCTGCGCATTGCTTTTGTGCGGTTTTCAACAAAGACGCAAAGCACTCCACAGGGAAGAAATCAGTCTTCAGTAAGTGATTCTGAAATCACTGGACGTCAACATGCAAAAGAGTAACATTGGGTCCCAACCTAAACACCAGATATAAGTTAATGTGAAATAGAACAAGAACTTAAGAATTTATAAACTATTAGAAGAACACATACGGCTACATTTTTATGACTTTGGATTTGATAATGGATTCTTAGCTATAACACCAAGATTCAAGGTGGCAATGGCTCAGTGGATAAAGGCACCCATTGAGAAACCTCAGGACCTAAGTTCGGTCTTAGGACCCAGGTGGTGGAATTTGTTCTCTGGCCTCCACAGGTATGCCATGGCAGACACACACACACACACACACACACACACACACACACACACACACACACTACACCAAACAAAAAAGGTAACAAATAAAAAACCAAACAAATAAAATACACTAAGACATGAACCACAAAAGAAAAAGACAAATTGAACTTCATTAAAATGAAAATATATTCTGTGTTTCCAAAACAATGGAAAAGGCTGAGATGGGCCAGCAAAAAAGATGGCTCATTAGGTAAAGGAGACTGCCACCAACATGACCATCTGAGCTTGATTCCCGGGCCCCACATGGTGGAAGGAGAAAACTAACTTGCATAGGTTGTCCTCTGACCCCTGCACACATGTAGTAGCACATCCCCCTTAACATCTGCACTAAATAAAAAAATTTTAAATGTTATTAAAAAAAAATAGAAGGCAATATATAAAATGGATTTTTAAACATTTTGCTGATCACATATTTGATAAAAGTCATATCTGGAGTCTGTAAAGAATATTACCAAGTCGGGCGGTGGTGGCACAAGCCTTTAATCCCAGCACTTGAGAGGCAGAGGCAGGTAGATCTCTGTGAGTTCAAGGCCAGCCTGGGCTACAGAGTGAGTTCTAGGATAGCCAGGGCTACACAGAGAAACCCTGTCTTGAAACTCTCCCCCCACCCAAGAAAAAGAATATTTACAATTTAATAATAAATTCCAACTAATTTAAACAAAGGGTTAAGGCCTGGAGCAGACATTTCTCTTAAGAAGAGACATAAATGACCAAGATCACAAGAAAAGATGGTAGACATTGTAAGTTATCAGGAAAATGCAAACCAGTATCTTAATGTCAGTCATATCCACCTAGATCTGCTAGAACAAAACAAAACAAAACAAAACAAACAAACAAACAAAAAAAGTCAAATACAGTAGGTGCCAGAGGGTACATGGAAAAATAGAAGTCTTCAAAGACTCCTGGTGGAGAGGAGAAATGGTACTGTTTGCTTCCCAAGTGACTGCCCATAAAAGTTACTTTACTGCCCAGCATCGGCTTCTGTATATACACCCCAGAGAAGTGAAAATATATATCCACATAAAAAGTTGTATATCAGTGTTTATAGTAACAGTATTCACAATAGCCCAAAGTTGGAAGCAAACCAATGTCCATGAATGGATGAATGGATAAGCAAAATATACTTATATACAATGAGAACAGAATTCCACTCAGCCATAAAAGGAAATGAAGTTCTGATACATGCTATAACATGGATGGACTTTGGAAACATGATGGTAAATAAGGATCAGTTAGAAAATGCTACACTCTGGGCCAATGAGATGACTCAGTGGGTAAAGGTACTTTCCAAACAAGACTGGTGATCTGAGTTCCATCCCCAGAACCCACACAGCGTGGACGAAGGGAACAGACTGACAAAGAAAGCTGTCCTCTGACCCTAATCACACTGTGGCACGTGAGCCCCCGCCCCTGAATCATGCACACACACACACACACACACCAATAAATACATTTAAGATAAAAAAAAACCCAGTCTATATGAATCCACTTCTATAAAATATCTTTAAAAGGCAAATCTTCAGAAGACGGATCTAGAAGTTCTTCAGTGGCGGCTTTGTGTGGCAGCTGAGGAAATGAGCAGACAGCTGAAGGGCACAGGGTTCCTTTTGTCATGAAGAAAATATTCTCAGTTTCAGGGTGTTGGTGGCTTACATGTCTCTGACTATCACAAAAAATCACCAAAATGTAACTTTTAAGTGACTGAATTATTTGGCATGTGAATTGCATTTCCTTAAAGCCGTTATGTAAAACAAACAAAAACCTGAAAGACATTGGCAGTGAAGGCTCCCTGGGGGAATGGTTCTTCTCTCTAGGCGGTCCTGCCTGTTGTCAGGTGGCCACAGCTCCTCACTATGTGGGCTTCTCCCCTGGGACACTGAAGGTACTCACAGACAGCAGCTGTCTTCCCCGGAGGGAGTGACCCAAGACAGAATGAGGCGAGAAGTGCAGCACCCAAGACAGCCTAAGCCTGGAGATGACTGCAGAGATGACTGTGCAGGCCAGTCCTGGCAGTGTGGAGCGGCTTACCAATGATGACAATATCAAGGCTGGCGATCCTTTGGAACCATTTGGAGCCTGGATGGCACTGCCTTGCCGGAAGCTTTCATTATGAACTGGGGCAGTAAGTATAAGACACTTGGTAAATGTGAACCCCGCAAGTAAATTTTTTTTTTTTTTTTTTTTTTTTTTTTTTTTTTTGGTTTTTCGAGACAGGGTTTCTCTGTGTAGCTTTGCGCCTTTCCTGGAGCTCACTTGGTAGTCCAGGCTGGCCTCGAACTCACAGAGATCCGCCTGGCTCTGCCTCCCGAGTGCTGGGATTAAAGGCGTGCGCCACCAACGCCCGGCTAAGTAAATATTAAATATCCATTTTATTGTTGACCTAGGTGGTCGAAAGCTAGATGTGGCTTATTCGTGTTTATTGCTTTACTCAGGAGGAGCTCATAGAGTCCTAGAATTCAGGGACTATTAGTCCCTGAAAAATGAGGTATTTTTTAAAATTTTTTAATTTACATTTTTTTCCAAGACATAGTTTCTCTGTGTAATAGCCCTGGCTGTCCTGGAACTTGATTTGTAGACCAGGCTAGCTTCAAACTCACAGAGATCTCCCTGTCTCTGCCTTCTGTGTGTTAAGATCAAAGGTGTTTACCACCACCCCGGCACATTTTGTTTGTTTATGAGTGTGTGTGTTTAGAGACCAAAGGATATCTTGTGGGAGTCAGGTCTTTCTGTCAAGTCCAAAGGAAACTCCATTTTCAAAAGGCAGAAGGGACAAATGGCTACCTGTGGTGCCTAATAGGTTTTCTGCTCCCCCCCTCCAGCCCCTTGCCCCCCCACCCCCACCCTCTGGCCCCAATAGATTTCTCCACCGATGCAGTAAGCCAGATCAAGCCGAGTTGAAAAAGTACAAGAACAGGTTTATTTGAGCAAAGCAGCTCCTGAGCAGGGTCTCCAGTCCCAGAGATCGAGGCCGGAGAAGCTGCATCCACAGGGAGACTTTATAGGTTGTAGGTGTGAGGTGATGATGTGTCTGCCATAAGCTGAGTTGATGCCCAAGTATGGTCAAAAGCTGAGCACTTTAGGCGGGGACTTGGGTGGCTGTCGTCTTCAGGGGAGGAAGCTGCAGTAGCCTCCAAGAATGCTGAACTGGGCCTTTTGTGCCTTTCCTTTGTCTGGAGGCTCTCTGAGTGGGTGGGGCTTGGAGAGAGACAGGAATGGGGCTTTCTGGATCATGCAGGGGAGAGCTGGAGGTTACAGCTGAACACCCATCAGCATTCCAAAGTATATGCTGGCTTCTAGGATCCCTCAGTATCACAAGTCCCTGTTGCACATTTCAAAGATCATGCTAGCTATCCTCCTAGCTCTCCTCCCCTCCTCCCCTCCTCAGACTTCCCCAGCTCACAGGCTTCCCTACCCTCAGCTACTCCTTTTCCTTATAACCCTGCTATTTCGGCTGTGCTCTCTGTCTTCCTCCTCCCCCCTCTGACCTCCTGCTCTTCCCCCACCCACCCATCTTCTCTTTACTCCCCATCTCTCATGTTTTTGTTTCTGTTTCTGTTTTCCCCTCTCTCTGCTCTGCTCCTGCTTCTCTCCTGGCCAGGTCCAGTCTGCTGGCCATGTTCTGTCTACTTCCTTCTCTGCTCTGGACTCTTCCAGATGCCTCTGGCTGTTCTCTCTCATATCTACAATAAAAGCTTTACCCTTAACTAGACCATAGAGCCGTCATATCATCAGTTTACACACTGTCCTTCTACCGTGTATCCTAGGGACTGAACTCAGGTCACTGGGCTTGGTGGCCTTGACCTGCTGAGCCATCTCCCTGGCCCCCTTGAGGTATAATTTGGAGACTGTGTATCTCTAATGGTGTTTAGCTGACAGGAAGAAACACAGATGTGAGGGGAAGCTGGTAATTCTAGCATTTACCAGGAGCAAAGCCCAGAGTTCTTTGGCCTTTTTGCCTCCCTCATGAAGTCAACATGGATTTATCTCTTCACAGCTTTGTTATGTGGGCTGGGAAATATGCTGCAAAATTAACAGAAGGAAAGAGCAAACCCAGGATAGACAT